AACTGTTGGTTTGAATCGAAACACATTCAAATTACGAAAAAAGAGTAAAGGTGAAAGACTCACACTTTGCTTTTTGATTAGTGTAAGAATAAGATTCACACTTTAATTCAAAACACATATACAAGTATATATTTATGTGTTTTGTACTTTCCTGTCACCCCCTTTTCTTTTTGAACTAATAACAATACCAAGGAAGTGAGGGAGGGGAACTGAGAACCGGCGAGTGTAATCTATGCCCCAAGAACCACTTTCCTTTACAACTAGGAAAAAAATTGCATGCAATTATAAGGTTGAGTCAACCTATTAGAGTAGCCAATGATTTGTAATCAACCTTTCCCCATATCTAGGGTTTTAAAGGAACACTATTTATTTATAATATAATCCTATAATAATGTATACGTTCATGAGTTAGCACGCATGTCACTGAAACATGTGTCGAGTAAAAGTGCAAGTACAGGGGTTAGGGCTGCATATGAGCTTAGCGGTTCATGAGTAGTTCGTGGTTTGGTTAAGAAAATATTCATTTGAAACCCCATTAGTTTATTAATTAGATGATTTCAAACTAAATATTGTTCATCTTGTGCGACTCGCGAGTTAGCGAGACTCGGTAACTTGTTGAGTTTAACTCGAGAGCTGACTCGTTTTGAGATCATAAATTGGTTCAATAGTGTGGCTAGTGAACCAACTCGACTACCTACTTACGAGCAAATCGATATATATCTCATGAGTTGAGTTGTTGATAATTCATAAGTTTATTAGATTGTACACCTCATCACATATGATATTTAGACTTTGAAATTGTGAGCAAATATGTCTCATTTATAATTTAAAATAGATTGTGTATCATAAATTACTTATATACTAATTATGGTTGAAGACCATGATACGAACTAGTTAAAATTTATGAACTAAATAATATAAAACCAACAAAGTATGTAAACATGAGATCATTTCATGATAGAAAGATTTACTACTAACTTTTCATCATGACATTAATCACTTATATCACCTGACATACAAATATTATGATTTTTTTTTTATAATGGTGACATACTACTAATTTAATTTATGAATCATTGTAAACTTTACTTTAGGGGTACCGTTCAACTATTTATAATGATAAATGAGTTGAGCTCGTTAACAAGTCCAACTCGAATCGATTTCGAGTAAACAAGAGCCAAAATTTAAGTAAATGAGTCAAACTCGAGCTTGACTCGTTTATTGACGAGCGGAGCTAGAACTAGATAAAATTTAACTCGACTGAACTCATTTACAGGGATGACACTCAATTTACGGTTTTTATCACTACCATATTTGATACATTTTCTCCTTCTATCAATGCATCTTTAGTATACTTTCATATATTGCATACTTAAGTCATAATTGTTTGATCAATGGGTACTTGATAGACCTAGGTTGTGTTTTTATTTTCTTTAATGCCTTTTTAGTATATTTTGTGCTTTTCAAGGTAAAATACAATTTATGAGGATTTGGATAAAGCATTGGACAAATATGGAGGGCCAAGGGAGCAAAAAAGAGTAGAATAATGAGTTTTCATATAAAAGACAAGGTCCAATGATGGACAATTCTATTGGGAACCATGATTGGAGCTTAGGAGGAGTCCAATGGAGGAAGGCTCAGCCCAAACTAGAGCCCCATTGTCAGGTCCAACCATCGCTATGCATACCTAGTCAAATCACTAAGAAATCTTCACGAGAGGTTGCTAATGGGTCAAGGAACTCATCCCACGAATAAGTGGCGGTCCCAACCGCCACTCATAGACCCCAAGTCCAAAAGATATTCAGAAGGCCTTGCTTCGCCCTAAGTCAAAGAAATTGTATCCTTGTAGGGTTATGAAGGTTTTGATCCAATTTTACCTATACAAATAGGGATCTAGACTTATTAGTTCAATAGCCTTCACAAATCCATTCAAAAATTCTGTATACACGCTGTTCGAGTGAGAGCTTTACATTCGTAGGAGAGGGTGCTGGTGAGGAGATGCTTTCATCATTGATGGTGGTGCCCTCTTTCTCTTCTATGTATAGCTAGTTTGAGATTGATTGCTTAGGAATGTGAACTCGTTTATTTTTATATGTATTGATGCTATGATTTCATGTTCTGCTTGTGTTTTATGTTTCAATGCTTAAGTGATGGTCATTGATACTTACTAGTGCAAATGCTTTCTTATATCGATGCTTGTGATTCTATAGTATACTACTATATGCATTGTGCTTAGTATCATATAGATTGTCAAGAAATTATCCTCTAGTGATACCTCAATGATGCTACACGAGTATAGGGAACAAGATCAACCATCTATGTCTTGAGTAGTATCAATCCTATAAATCATCGATATGGCTCAAGAGGCCCACATATAATCACGTGCTATCCTCACTTCTTTGTTCTTCATTGATTAGGTGATGGTCTGAAGCGAAAGCACACATTAGCTTGTCAAGTTTTCTATTGAAGGTGGTGAAAGCTCGAGTATGGTGAGTTGATGACCATAGTAGAAGGGATATAGTGATTCTATAGATAAATCATCGATACATGATATGAATGAGTGTTGATATGTATAATGAATTCGAGTATGTTTTTTTGTTCTATTGAATAACGTATCTTTACTTTTATGCATCCATATAAATGGAAATTATTTACTTTAATTGTTTGCTTAACTTTGATGCTCATTGATACTCTTATTCGAAAACCGCCTAAAGTCTTTAATATTTTTGTTCAAAGCATGGATAATATAATATAAGTAATTATGTACTAGAGAGCTTATAAAATATGACAATAGGACATCATGGAATTTATTACTTGCATGTCTACAATTAGCACATCATGCCGCCATTGAACTCTGTAGTTAATGGCTTATTAGCAAACAAATTTGCACAAATTTGTAACGGTACGAATTGGGTTGACTTACTTGTCAAGTATGCTGATAATTAATTCATAGTTTTTAAAAATACTTTATTATATTGTGGACTCTAATAACGAGTGCACCATAAAAAAAAATGAAAAAGACATGTGCCATATTTCATAATTATTTGGGAGCCAAAACCAAGTAAGAAAATTAGAGAAAGAGTTTGGTGGTTAGGGTTAAAACTTGTTATTGTCCCGTGTGCATGGCAACAAACACAATCCTTATAGGGTTTGAGGATTAGATCATGTGGCAGAAGCTTCCATCACGGCTAACATCATTAGTTTCTGGATTGCAAAATGACAGGTCATCATGAGACCATTTTTGGTCCCCAAATAAATAAAATAAAAACTAGCTAGTGTCGTGCCCACAGCAGAAGAGAACAATCAATCACAGACATAAAATTAAAGCTCTCTTTATCTTATGTCATCCAAACACAGAAAGACTGACCCAGAAGAAGAACAAGAACTAAACCCCCTCTCTCTCTCTCTGTGTCTGAAAACCAATTACTTTGGCGGAATACTACCCAAATTTGAAAGAGAGAAAGTGGCGCCGTATGGAGCTTTTAAACGGTATAAAACGACAGAATCACAAAAGCCACAACAAACGCCAATCCATCAAGGCATCAAATCCCTTTTTTTCCTTTTGGTTAGAGGGAGGGGTGGGTATTAATTTGAACCAGGAACTGAAACTTAGGAATTAGGATGATGGCGCCTTTGGGTGTTCAAAAAACTTTCCTGCAAACGGTTGGCTTGAGATACCCGAGATCATGTGTTCTCTTGGTTTTAGGGGTTGTATGTTTGATTGAATTTGATTCTATTAATGAAGGATAATTTTGTACTTTTACGTTTCAAGTTAGAGAGATAATAGTAAAACTAAGGCGACACATAGCTATTCAATATTCACAATCCTACCCAAAATAGTTCGGGATTTACTCATACCCACACAAGATTCGAGTAAATAAATCAAAATCATATCCATGGTTAATAATTTTCTTTATAGGTTCAACCAACATGTTAACACTCACACATATGTTGATCTTACATAAATGGAAAATGACGACTATATATCGTTATAATTAAGAAAATTAGTTGAAAATATTATACATGTATAATAAATAACAAAAATATTTTGTGAAAAATAATGTTTATTTATAGATAAAATATACACATGTGTATAATTGGGCGGGTTCGGGTTGGATAGTGAGAAAATCATAACTACCCATTACACGTAATATTCAAATTCAGATTGTACCCATACTCATTGAAAATCCTTAAAGTACGAAATTTACTTTACACAATTTAGTTGGTTTCAGACAGATATCCACAACTATAGATATTTTTGCCACAATTTTTTGGAATCCGATGTAAAACAAATGAGATAAGGTTCGTCGAATTTTCATTGGAGATTTGTAAAACAACACACTTGGAGATCTGCGTGATAACCCAAAAATCTAGTCGGCTTTCCATAAATTCCAACCAATTGTCTTCCTAAATAAGCAACGAGAAAAGAAAACCCTATCAACCCAACCTCTAAAATAAAAAAGTGACAATAGTATCACTTCGCACTAATGTACCCTCTCAATTTTAGACATTGAGGCCCCGTTTGGATTAAGGATTTCAAAACGCAGGAATTGAAACCCAAATCTCTCATTAAAAACCTGGGAGGTTTTGGCCGTGGGATTTGGCCCAAATATGTGTTTGGCTATGGATTAGAGATTTAGTCCATCTTAGCCCAATTACACATTTACCCCCTTCTTCTTTGTTCCTTCTTCTTCATCTCATCTCCGCCCCTTAATCTCCTTCGCGAGATCCCCGACGATGAGAGCCCGAAAGAGAGAGAGAGAGCGCGCCAGCGATCCGATGCAGATATTGGACGCTTAATAGAAGATCATCGAACACTAGAAAACCTAGAAACCAGATTTGGTTCCCAACAGGCCAAGTCCCCCAAAACAATCGATGTCTCTCCCTCCGACCTTGAGCTTCTTACCTCGCGACTCTACATACCGTCGACCCACCCCTAAAATCAATTTCTAAACTGAGGATTGACGACGTTGACTTTAGCCCAGGCATCGCCGGACCAATCAGAGGCGAAGAACTCGAGGTTGGGATGTCGTGTATGTGAGGTAGATGGGGGAGCTCGAGGAGGCGAGCTTTGATGGGAGTAGTGTTGCGGCAGCCGACAGAGTCTTCACCAATTCACTCTCGGCGCCAGCGGCCCAAACCTCACCGCGAAAGAAGTAGGAATCAGTCCCCCACCAAGTAAGAGTGCCGACGAGATGAGAGGGAGACATAGTGAAGTTTCAATCACAAAGAAGGAGAGGAACCTAGAACTTCGATGCAAAGTAACCTCGCCCCAAAATCACCTCTTTTCCCATAAACCCAGATATCTAATCATCTGGGTGATCTCGCGATCTGGGCGTAGATGAAGAATATGCAGAATCAACGACACAACCTGTAGATTTGACAACCCCTCTCAAGCGACGCTAGCGACATTGTAGGGTTCTCAATCGGATTTCACTAGGTAAATTTAAGTTGCTTTCGCCGGAGGAGAGAAAGAAGGAGAATCGATCGAGAGGGACGCGTCGATGTCATAGAGACTGTGGGTACGATAAGGGTGAAGGAAGAAGAAAGAAAAAACGAAGGGAGGGAGGGACAAAGTTTGGAAAAGAGCCACAAAGAATGAGTGATAGTGAAATAGTTGGTCCCTATAAGTTATTTTAAAAATATGCAATTGAGAGATTTTGAAATCTCTAGTGCTCACAATCTCTCAACTTACTAAACGCATAATTGTATTGAAATCATGTATAATGAGGGATTGTATTAAAATCTCTCACAAATCACTCACTACAAACCTAGATCCAAACTACCTCTAATAAAGATTTTGCCATGGGTTTTGTATAGTAGGGAGGGATGGTAATCAAACCCATGGCTGCGGGTACCCAACCGCCCCCGACTCAATCAGCGTGGGAAATCCTCTGATTGACTAGGTATGGGTAAAACCCGCAAATTTTTTATGGATGTGAGACATGTATGGTTTTAGCCTCCCACGCCACATACCAATACCCATATCCGACCCACCAAGAATATTTCTTCGCATATAAAAAAGGGTAAATATAATATAATAGCCAAACCTTTCGTTTTAAACAAAATAATAGCCAAACCTATCCGAAAACAATTTAATAGCCAAACCATTAAGTTTCCGTCTGGTCAAACGTCTCTTGAACCTGACGTGGCAAATTTATTGTTGAGGTGGAAGGATTTTGATGATGTGGCAAGAATTCTTGTATTCGACTATGCTACATAAGTATTTATTAGTTTTAATTCATAATTTATTAGTTAAAATAAAACAAATTCCAAAATAAAAAACAACTAATGGGAGCGGCCACACTCCTCCATCTCGGCCACACTCTATGTATCCGTCTCCAACATCTTGTGCCTCCGTCGCCTGGATTCTTGTTCCTCAACAATCAACATGCAGCACCCCAACTCCGACAGTGTCAAACACAATCAAGAAACGAACACACGAGGTTTACGTGGTATCCTCAACGAGTATCGTTCAGACTAATCCATGGAGAGGAGCAACCTCTCAGAGTTTATATGAGAATTCTTGAGTTACAACCAGCTGCTATGCAACATATATATACCCACTAACCCTATCTCACGTAGTAATAGGTAATTAACACACATAATTAATGGCTAATTATAACTAACTACCTATTACTTTTAGTACTGCTAACACCCTCCTTCAAATTGATGATGCTTGCGCAACATCAATTTGTATGCTAGAAACCAGTGTCGAGTAGAAGCAACTGGTTTGGTAAGCAGGTCTGCAGTCTGTTCTTTAGAAGTGACATATGATAACTCAATTTTTCCTTCAGCCACCAGCTGCCGAATATAATGGACATGCACCTCTATGTGTTTAATGCGATCGTGAAGAACTAGATTGGTAGCAATCCTAATGGCACTAGTGTTATCCACATATAAACGCATAGGAAAGCGACATGCCATCCCAAGCTCCGCAACCAGCCGATGTAACCAAACGAGTTCCGAAGTAACTTCCGATATAGATTTGTACTCGGCTTCAGTAGACGATTTGGATACCCTCTCTTGCTTTTTGCACCGCCAAGATACAAAAGAGGAACCAATCCGCACACACCAACCAGAAGTTGACCTGCGGGTGTCTAAATTCCCTGCATAATCTGCATATGCATAAGCTTCAATTACTGAATCACTAGTGGCAGGAAACAATAATCACACATCGGTCATACCACATAAATACCGTAGGATGCGGCGTACTGCAATCATATGAGATGTCCTCGGAGATGACATGAATTGACTAACCACCTGTACAACATAGGAAATGTCGGGACGAGTATGAGTAAGATAAATTAAGCTCCCAACCACGCTACGATAAAGTGCCCCATCAGGAAGAGGCTCGCCATCACTCTGTCGCAACTTTAGTTCTGCTCAATAGGAGTTGCACAAGGATCACATGTGTCCATTTGAGTTGTCTTAACAAAAATACCTTCAAAGGATCGATGAATTTCCAAACCCAAGAAGTAGGACAAGTCTCCTAACTCCTTTAGCTTGAAAGCTGAATGTAAAGTCTGAATCAAAGACTGAATGCCTTGTGTATCATCACCACTAACGACCATATCATCAACATAGATAAGTAGAGCTGTGATCCCACGATTTGTCCTTCGCAAAAACAAAGTTGGGTCATTATCACTCTGAACAAGACCAGCTGTAGAGATCGTCTTATGGAATTTCTCAAACCACGCACGAGGAGCCTGCTTCAGACCATAGTGAGAACGACGTAATCGAAAAACCTTAGTCTTATTGCCCTTCAAATACCCAGGAGGACATTCCATATAAATAGTTTCATTCAGATCACCGTGCAGAAAAGCATTTTTTACATCCAACTGTTTCAACTCCCATCCCCGCAGCGCAGCCACGACCAGTAAAACACGAACTGTCTGCATCTTCGTGATTGGAGCAAAGGTTTTCTCGTAATCAATACCAAACTCCTATCGAAAACCTTGAGCTACCACGCGAGCCTTAAAACATTCAAGAGAGTCATCAGGATGCAGCTTGACGTTATAGACATACTTGGAACTAATGGCAGGATACTCAGGTCGACGGTCAACGACATCCCAAGTACGATTTGCTTCCAAGTAGAGGTGGCAATTAGGATCCAAATCCATGAATCCAATCCATCCACCAAATTATCCACCTAATCCAATCCATTTAAATCCAATCCATTTGATCAAAATGGCAAATTACGAGTTGGTACCTATATTTTTTATATTTTACATTTTGGTACCTAAAATTTTTATTTTATACAAAAATATCATTGGAAAATTACATTTTGGTTCCTAAAAATTTTCATTATGACATTTTAGTACCTAAACTTTTCAAAATTTACATTTTGGTCCAAACCTTGGATGTCATTTGGATTCATGGATCAATCCACCAATCCATTTGATCAAATCCATGAATCCAATCCATTTGATCCATGGATCCACCAATCCAATCCACGAATCCACGAATCTGATCTAATTGCCACCTCTACTTCCAAAACATCTATCTCGACATCCATTGCATTATCCCAATGTGGATTCCTCCGTGCTTGTTTATAAGTAGCTGGTAGTGGAATATGGGATGTAGCAAACGCAAAGAAATCAGTCAAACATAGAGGAGGCTGACCTTTTGTAGCACGGTTAGAGCGCCAAAGAGGAGGAGGTGCAACGGGGGAAGGAGAATCTTCTCCAGCTGATGACTCCCTCGCAGACGAGGAGGAGGAAGAATTAGCGGAAGAGTCTCCATGCAGCAAAGAGAGATGTGATGGCTCCGAAGCAGAACTAGAAGAAGCACTCGACGAAGAACTCTCCATGTCAAGAGCACTTCCGAGAGAAGTGGAGACATGAGGCGAGGATGGGGGATCCAAATCATCCTGTCTAACAGTCACGACATGGGGAAAGAAATCCAAAGGTTGAAGAAAGTCGAGAGTGGAGGCTGACCGCTGTTGCGAGGAAACATGATGGGATAAATGCTCGAGAAAAGCTACATGACAGGATATCCGGATCTGGCGACCGCTGTTGCGAGTGGAGGCTGACCGCTGTTGCGAGGAAACATGATGGGATAAATGCTCGAGAAAGGTTACATGACAGGATATCTGGATCTGGCGATTTGCAGCACCATAACACACATACCCCTTGTGCTTCTCGCTATAACCAACAAACATACATTTAATCGCCTTAGGCTGCAATTTTTACGCTCTCGTTGGGGGAGGAGAACATAACAAACTCAGCCAAACACACGTAACCAGGAATAATTTGGCTTCTTGCCAAAGAGGACCTCATATGGACTGCACTGAGCAAGAATCAGAGTAATTTGACGATTAATGAGATACACAACAGAACCCCGTCGCTTTTCTCTCCCACTCGAATCCTGCTTGTGTCGCAATTATACCCCAAAAATCCCCCCAAATCAATTTCAAGAACGCTAACTTATCCTCCCCTCTTCACACTACATCCAATCTGCGACGGGTCATTTGCTGGCAGTATCCGATCGATCTCTCCTCTTGACAGCCGGTGGGGCACTATCTCTAGGATGGGATATGTAGGTGACCATTCGGTGGGAGTCACGACCGAGAGAGAGGAGTTTATTTAGAAGAGGCACAAATCTATTGGCCATCTTCTCCAAGAACTCTGCAGACGGATTTAAAAGGTTGAAATTGGACAATGGAAAAAGCGAGTTGAGGTAGGGAGAGATCCCTATTTTTCGTCAATCAATTTGCCCAACGAACCAGTTTTCCCTAGATTCGCGGCCTGAACTGGCCGATTCTTCCTCTGTTGCTACCGTGGTGGAGATTCGAATCGTCTGGGTGGAGAGGTGCACCGGCTGCGGAACTGGAAGCTGAAGGGTATATTGATTGATGATGAGTTGGGAAAGCGGCAGCGAGGGAGACGGAGTCGGGATTGGTGCGCTGCCCGAAATGTTCTGACCCAGATCGGGGCTGGAGGAGTGGTGGTGGGTGGTAGTGCACTGAAGAGAAGGGAGAGGGGTGTGATGGGGTGGCCGGAAGGGTGGCGGTGGTGGAAAGGGTGGCGGTGGCCGGAAGGGGAAGCATTTGGGAGCGGAAAAAACATAAGTAAAAATTAATATCCATGTGGGATGGTAACATGTTTGACTTTTTTCCACATCCGTAAAAAAACATCCAGCTCATTTAAAATTCTGTCACCTCAGAGTCAAATAACAGTCAACCAGAAGGAAAGTTAACGGTTTGGTTATTAAATTGTTTTCGGATAGGTTTGGCTATTATTTTGTTTAAAATGAAAGGTTTGGCTATTAAATTGTATTTATCGTATAAAAAATACATTGATCAAATTGAAACTTATGATAGTGGAGATAATTTAAGAGAATATATACAGTAGAAATGCAAATGAGTGGCTACCCAAATCCAAATCCAATTCCTTTACGTCAATTCTCTCATCATTCTTTCACTTTTCCCTCTTGTTAACAAGATAATTATGTTAGTTAAGTATTATTTCATAGATGTATTAGATTTATATGCTAATTATTTGAAAAATATTATACTCTAGCTTATTGATTAATAGATCTTTTAGGATCCTAAATACGATTTGAACCGTATTAAGAATGATAGTATCTTTGTTGACTTAATGATAGTAGATTTGTTTAGCATTATAATGCAACATTTACATGTAAAGTCTTATGTATAATGATGTTAAATGTACGGGGCGGGTATTACCCATGGGTATCCCAAACCCACGGGTTTGAGGATGGGTTTACAAAACCTTCCCGTGTTAGTATGTGGTGGGTAGGAATTTGGATATTTGAAAATGAGGATGAGCATGGTTTAATTAATCCCGCCCCAAACAGTCCCATTGCCATCCCTTTACAAAGTCCTGAAATATATATCGATTAAGAAATAAACAGTAAACATAAATATAATAAATAAATCTATTTTATTATTTTACACTTACATATAATATTTGTTTCTTTATTTATTGTCTACTCTGAAAAAAACAGTAAATCACTAAATCTTCAAATTGGCCTCCTTAAAATCTGAGAGAGAAGAACGGAACAGCAAGGAGCAGCAGCAGCAGCAGCAGCGCAGAAGATTTTGAAGAGACGATCACACACAGCTTTCTCCGCTGTCTCTTCTGTTTCTGTAAGTAATTTAATTGGATGCGAAAAATTGCAGAAATGGAAGAGTTTCCCTACTTTCCCTTTTCTTATCCTTCTCCTTCCATTTTCCCGCCTCACTGCTTCTCTCTCTTGTCATTAATGGCGGCCGCTGCTGCAACCGTCAATCGCGTGTTTGCTTGAGTGACCCTTCTCTGCTCCCTTCCTCTCTCTCTCTCTCTCGATTTGCGTTTCATCTTCCAAAATCGGTTTCCGGGTCAGCTCATTGTCATTTCATCGTGGAGCTGGGAGCTCACTGTGATTTTCTGTGGGAAACTGGAAATCCTTGCTGGTTGCCGAGAAAATTGAGTGAAAGATCAGAGAAGAAGTAATAGTAATCGAGTGTTTGGTTCTTAGTTCTTACACCGCAAAGAGTAATTTCCTCCTTTCTCCCTCTCTCTCATGATTTTTTAAAAGGGGAATTGGGTGAGCCTTAGCTGGATTATTCTGCCTCCCCAACCCCAAATTTAATTTGCAGCTTCCATTGACCTGCTAGTTCGTGCATTTGTTTGTTGTTATTTTTCCTGCACTTTCCCGTCAACCAAACAGGACAAGGGGAAACTTCTCTCGTTCGTTGGTTTTCAAATTTGTTCCCCCAAATCCTCATTCTCGGTGTTCTTTTGTTTCCATTTTCATTTTTCAACAGGGAGGCTAGCGTTGCTCCAGCTACTGGAGATTTCAGGCTGAAGGGATAAAAGGCTTTTGTTAGGTTGTGGTAAGGAAAGCAAAGATTCTCCCTAGTCAAATCTGCCCGAAAACATTTGCAGGAGCTCTGAAATTTGGGACTAGGGGTGGTTTGATTGGTTTCTCCTGTTTGGCAGAGGAGCTTTCTCAGATCCATCTGCATTACCAATCTGGGATCTACCAGTACCATTACCCTTAGCTTTTCTTCTGTTTTGGTTTTCACCACCTTATACTAAAAAAGCAACTGTTTCTTTCACCTCGTTTGACCCATTCGAGCTTTGTGGCAGATAGATGGATAGATAAGCCAGAGGGGCAACTCTTGTCTTCTTCTTGTCATTTCCCCTCCTTTCAAACACTGTCGTTGATGCTCTTTTCCCACCTCCCCATTTCTTCATCTTTTACTCACGGTTCTTTAGCTTTCAAAAGGGCTGTGTTTGTTTCTTCAGCAGGCGTGATATGAAAGGTGTGGTTTTCTTGTCTTGTGGTGCATGTTAATAATGGAGATACTTTTTGGATGGGGCTCATCTCATATATAATTTCTTGTTCCTTCCTTGGGTTTCCAGGGTTTGATGGTCTTTGAGAAGTTCAACTCTTAGAGAAGAAGGCCGCTGTATTGTATACAGTTTTTGTTGTGGTTGCAAGGGATGACGACCAGAGACCAGAAGAGAGGGAAAGTAGAGAAAGCTGGGGGATCAGAAGTGGCCGAGAAGGTTGTGGTTGCAGTGAAGGCTTCCAAGGAGATTCCTAAGACTGCTCTGGTTTGGGCTTTGACTCATGTTGTTCAGCCTGGTGACTGCATTACTCTCCTTGTCGTTGTTCCCTCCCCAACTTCAGGTAGCTCTTTATGATTGATGGCCACAGGAGCTTTCGATGTGCTTATTTGTGTTCCAAGCTGAGAGTTAACATGATGTCTTTTTATCAGGTCGCAAGTTATGGGGTTTCCCAAGATTTGCTGGGGATTGTGCTAGTGGTCATAAGAAGTCTCATCACCCGGGGGCAACCTCCGAGCAAAGGGGCGACATTACCGATTCATGCTCACAGATGATCCTTCAGCTCCATGATGTTTATGATCCTAACAAGGTGAGACAATTGGAGAACGTATGTCTTTTGCTTCTTGTTAGGTAACATTTTGTGCTGAATCGTTACCTTTTCTTGTCAGATCAATGTGAAGATAAAGATTGTATCTGGTTCCCCTTGTGGAGCTGTAGCTGTGGAGACCAAGAAAGCTCAGGCCAATTGGGTTGTCCTGGACAAGTAAATTATTGCTTCCGTCATTCTTCCATTGGTTTGTTGTTCTCTCTCCCACAGTTCATTATATTGAACAGAATTTAATCTTTATGATTGATTGCAGACATCTCAAGCACGAGGAGAAGCGATGCATGGAAGAACTACAATGTAATATAGTGGTGATGAAGCGATCCCAGCCGAAAGTGCTCCGCTTGAATTTGATAGGATCAGCCAAGGATGCTGCTGAACTCACTGGTCCTTCACTTTCTAAAACGGACTCAGCTTCCGACAATCATATAAAAAATGATAATAATGGCTCTTCTCCACATTCAATTCCCGGTCCAGTCGTGACTTCAACGAGTAGCCCAGAGCTGGGGACGCCATTCACAGCCACCGAAGCTGGAACATCTTCGGTATCAAGCGATCCAGGAACTTCACCATTTTTTGTTTCAGAATGTAATGCGGACTTGGGGAAGAAAGAGGAGGAATCTTCGGCTGGTAAGGAGCACAGAGATCTTGACGACTCTGGTTCAGAGACTGACTGCGACCAGTTGTCCACAGCCTCTGCAAGTACTCGGTTCGAGCCATGGATAGGCGAGTTTGTCACTTCTCACATGCACTCCTCACGACGTGTGGAAAAGAAACGTTCTCATCATCTGAATTCTGCGAGAGCTCAAGCATCAACAGCGACTAAATCACCCTCCTTCTCTAGGGCCGATTCGGACTTGGGTGGTGACATCAGAGAAGCAGTATCATTATCGAGAAATGCACCCTCTGGCCCGCCCCCTCTGTGCTCGATATGTCAGCACAAAGCTCCAGTTTTTGGAAAGCCCCCTCGTTGGTTCAGTTATGCTGAACTGGAGCTTGCTACTGGTGGGTTTTCGCAAGCTAATTTCTTGGCAGAAGGTGGGTTCGGGTCAGTGCATAGAGGCGTCCTGCCAGATGGGCAAGCAGTTGCTGTGAAGCAGCATAAATTGGCTAGTACTCAGGGGGATCTCGAGTTTTGCTCCGAAGTGGAAGTTCTTAGCTGTGCTCAGCATCGTAATGTGGTTATGCTGATTGGATTCTGTATTGAAGATAAAAGAAGGTTGCTAGTTTATGAGTATATTTGCAATGGGTCGTTGGATTCTCATTTATACGGTACACCTTTCTCTGGCTACATTCTATTATTTACGCGTGATGATTTGCCGATATTTGTTGTTTTTCGGCGGTAAATATTTTGGTGGCTTAATTTTCTGTTATGTTTGGCCAGGGCATCAACGTGAGCCGCTGGAATGGTCTGCTCGTCAGAAGATCGCGGTAGGTGCTGCTCGTGGGCTTAGGTATCTTCATGAAGAGTGCAGAGTTGGTTGCATTGTCCATCGTGATATGCGGCCTAACAACATCCTCATAACCCATGATTTTGAACCACTGGTAAGCACAGCAGCTTTAATCCCCATCTCGAAATTTTCATCAGATGAAAAATATATATTTGATACAGTTTTGATTCTGTTATAGCATTTGACTGGATGCAGAATTTTGACACTGTCCGATGATCTCGGTTCAACTTATTTTTGGTTCAGGTTGGAGATTTTGGCCTGGCTAGGTGGCAGCCTGATGGAGATCTTGGTGTGGAAACCAGAGTAATTGGAACATTCGGGTAAATATTCATTTACTCGCTTTAGTACATCCACATTCCATTTTCATCTATACCACTTCATAATTTTATAAACATTTCTTGATCTTTGGTGCAGGTATTTGGCTCCAGAATATGCCCAAAGCGGCCAGATCACAGAGAAAGCTGATGTGTACTCTTTCGGTGTGGTGTTGGTAGAACTCGTAACAGGACGCAAGGCAGTGGATCTCAACCGGCCAAAAGGCCAACAGTGTCTCGCCGAATGGGTCTGCACTATATCTTCAACTCAATCTGTTATCCTTTTTCAAGTTATCTTTCTAAATGCTCATTTGCGTTACTTTTGCTTTCAAAAAATAGGCACGGCCACTGCTGGAAGAATACGCAGTTGATGAACTGATCGACCCTCAACTGGAGAATCGGTACTCCGAGCAGGAAGTCTACTGCATGCTTCACGCCGCAGCTTTGTGCATACGCCGCGATCCTCAATCTAGGCCTCGCATGTCACAGGTGAGAAATTGATACCACACCCTTGTTAGTCAAATGGGCCGACCTGTTAGCTAAAGAGAGAAACTGATAACTGATTGTGTAATCAAAATGGTTTACTGGGGGCTTCAACTAGAACTAGTAAGCCATCCTTCCAATCTTTTGCGTAGCATAACTAATACGTTCTCTTCTGCGGAAAAAGGTTCTTCGAGTACTAGAAGGCGACATGGTGATGGACATGAACTACATGTCGACGCCCGGTTATGACGTTGGCAATCGGAGTGGAAGGATGTATGAAGAACAGCAGCAGCAGCATTACAGCGGGCTGATAGGGAACGAAGCATTGGAAGGGTTCAACGCAAAGGTCTCTCTTGATACAGTAAGGCCAAGCTTTCAAGAAAGGGAAAAAGCCAGAAGAGTTCAATATGGAGATGGCTCGTAGAAAGAAAGAAGAAAAATGTCAGCTTTCATAGCTGTAAAACAAATCTGTTTACGGTATGGTAAAAAAAAAAACATGTCTCTCCTCTCCTGATGCTCCTCCTTTCCATTTTGGGTCTATTGTTTTTTCTTTTACCACTGCTTGCCTGCTTAGTGAATTTTTGTCCAATGCCATGTGGATTTTGTATAGCCGGAAGGAGAAGTAGGAGGAGAGTTAAGCTGCTAATGGCTGACATTCTTGTGTAATTGTTTTGGTGGTAAATTGATAGAGAGGTAAAAGAAGATGAAATGGTGTTTCTTCAAATTTGAATTTCGAATTACTGATAAGGTTATGGATGAAAGTAGTATTCAATCATGATGGATGACAAAGGAAATCAGGCTCAGATGTTGAGAAGAGAAGAGGGTAAATTTTGTTTCTTTGTGGTGGTGTCGTGAGTTGTTCATTTTTGTCTGTGTTGCTGTGTGATCGGTTTTTGAACTACCAAGGAAGGGGGAAAAACATAGAGAATTAGAGACAAATCTGTTGTTTTCTGTTCTCTTGTTCTTAGCGGACAGCCCCTTGGTTCTGCTCTCGTGTTGTTTTGTCCTCCTCTACCTTGTTGCAAGCATGTTTGTACGATTAGATCCTGTTATGATACTGATAACAACCAAATTCTGCTGCGGGTCAATGTATGAGAATCATTTGGTTCCGCCTCATTTTGTGTCCATAAGACAAGCATTCCAGCTATACATAGAGCGCCAAATGAGCCAAATTGCTCGCGAGCCAGCTCGACTTGATGACTTGTTGTGGTTAACTTTTTGAGCTGGCCTGTTTTGAACTGATGAGTAGTCTCGCAATGTGACTAATTAGCTCGACTAGTAGCTGACTAATTAGCTCGACTAGTAGCTTATGAGTGAATAGACCTATAGCTTATGAGTAGATTTGTAGAATAGACATATAGATAGCTCGTGTTGTTAGATTATATCTCCCACTACATGATTTGTAAGGCTGAGTAGTGAGTACGTCAGCAAATATCACATATAGTTTACAATCTAAAAAGGAGAAATTATGAATCGTATATTGCTTGGATACTAATTACTTTTTAATAGCATGATATGACACGTTACAATTTATTAACTAAGTAATATGAAATCTGAGCTCAAGTCATGCTCAGTAATTGATTGGTAAGTCAAGTTCAAGCCGAGCTCAAGTCAAATACGAGCCAAGCTTCCAATGAAACAAGCTAAAGCTCGAATTCGACTCTTGCATTAACGAGCTGAGTTTGAATTAAGCATACTGGATTCGCCCCTACTTATTTGTAACCCTATTTATCATAGCCAATGTCTTATCTGGCATGGCTGACGATGAGTTTATGCAGAAGGTTTAGGTTCCTGCATTTATGACTTTCAGAGAAGATATTTTCTGTTATACGTAGTGATGAAAAGGAAACCCTAGGGTGACTGTGACATGACCTGTCAAGTGGGATGGAGACCACATACGAAAAGAAAGAAGAACAAACCCCAAAGCTGCAAACTTGGGTGTGTGTGTGCAGTGCCCTGTATTTTGGGCAACTTTAATGAACTGCTTTCTTCAGTTTGGGTTTGGGTTTCAGACTTGTCTGGTTCCTCTGCTTGTGTTTGTCTGCTGTCTCTGGGCCTGGCTGAAACCAGAAAACCTCGTTATTCGCGCACGAGAGAGAGAGGGTGGTTCTAGAAATGTTGATGGATGCGTTCAGATTGGAAGCCAAGCTGAATCTCATACAAAGAAATCTAGAGGGTTTGAGACAAGAACCAGAAGAAGGGCAGATCTTGGGGGATAGAAATTGATAGACGAAGATAGGGAAAAGAACGAGAGGACTCGATTCTTCCTTATTCACTCCTTAAACTAAGGATTAATATTTTCATATGGCCTGAACTTTGACCAAAATAAACATCCTATTCCTGGCCAATCTTTTCGATCTATAACATCCTGGCCCGAACTATACACCAAAATAAACAATTTGACCAGAACCGACTTTTGACCGTTAACTTGGACGGTCAAACGCGTTGACTAACAGTCAACGCGCCACGTCACTGCCAAGTCAACAATTTTCACTTAAATATTTTTACAATTTCCACCTATTATCATTTTTCTTTGACATTTTGAACCAAAAAAAACTAAAATTAAACAAAATAAAAAATAAACCCTTCCATCCTCTCTGATCCCTTTCACTCCCTGTTGTTGTCTCCTCTCCAAATGGAATTGAATGTTCACCAGCTCTCTCAGGTCGTCCACCACAACCAGATGATGGCTTCCTCCCGTAATTTCCCTTCATCTTCCCCATCCGACGACTCCATTGCCATTGGATCCAGGAACTCGGCGACGATTCGAGAACTTGAAACCCTAGATCCGTGATTTGAACGAGAGAGAGGTCCTCAATCAGTTGATCGGGATCAAAGAGGATAATGAATCCCTCAATGTTATCCCTCACTCCGGCTCATTCGCCCGCACTCCCGCTCGATTGCCTCTTCTCGAGCCCGGCGGCGGGCCTCTTGCTGTTGCTAGTTTGTCGGTGAGCCTGATTCCTTCCTCCCCTGGGGCTCGACGACGGCAGCGGGAGCAAGCGAAAGAGGGCAGAGGAGCTACGATCCACTAAGGGCGGTGAGCAAAAAGTTGTGGAATCGACCTTGGTACCACCATTTTCGCACTCGCCGCCATGGATGGAGGGAAGCTCACCATTACCCAATCTTTTCATTTCCCTCCGTTTGGCGATGATGATGACGAGTAAAGGTTTGGACTTCAGATTTTATTTGATTTACGATTGGGGAATTTTGGGGATAATCACCCAGGTTCTCTGGTGCGGTGACGGGGGAGATGGATTGGACTTTACACTTGGGGCATTTACAGTTGATTGTGATGGAAGAAGGATAAGCAGAAGATGATTTTTGGAGAGCAGATGACAGCGGGGAGTGAAAGGGATCAGAGAGGGGATGAAGAGTTTATTTTTTTAATTTGATTTATTTTTGTTTAACTTTTTTTTGGCGTTCAAAATATAAAAAAATGATAATAGGTGGAAATTGTAAAAAAATTTAAGTGAAAATTGTTGACTTGGCAGTGACGTGGCGCGTTGACCGTTAGTCAACGCGTTTGACCGTCCAAGTTAACGGTCAAAAGTCGGTTCTGGCCAAATTGTTTATTTTGGTGTATAGTTCGGGCCAGGATGTTATAGATCGAAAAGATTGGCCAGGATGTTTATTTTGGTAAAAGTTCAGGCCATACGAAAATATTAACCCTTAAACTAAAGACAAACGTACATAATAATAATAATAATAATAATATTATTATTATTATTATTATTACTAGTTTTATGGCCCGCGCTTCGCAGCGGCATGAAACTAATTATATTCCAAACTTCATCCACTTATTTAGTGATTTACTTGAAATCAAATCATTCGCAAAATCGATCGGATAAGATACATCCTTAGGATTTACGTTCTATCTTAATCATTACTAATCCTTTCATAAACCTTATGTATTCTTTTAACCATTAGGAGATAATTATACAATACATTCGTTTAATTGAAATATAAAAATAACTATGAGTTTTATGTAATGTATTTGTTAATTTACATAACTTTTATAAAACGTTGTTTTGAAAATCTTCCGCAATGTGTGGTCTAATAATAAAATCAAGTTATAAAAAAATATTATATTTGATTGAATTGTCATGGAAAAGTCAACTCATCAGTCATCACATAATATTTGTGTAAGGCAAATCGATGACATAGTGAATATTTTAGTTAATATTTTATTAAACTGTTAGGTAAATATTACTTATATTACAGAATATTTGTGTAATACAAATTGATAAATGATAAGAAACCCAACAACTTAATTGATAGTAAAGGAATTCCCATTCAAATTCATATTATCAAAGACTACCATGATAAATTTATTAAATTAATAAATGAATTTTCATTGAAACTTATATTATGGAAGACTTACGTAATAAAATTTTTAATTGATACATAATAGATAATTATTCCCTATAAGAGATAACTATCTTTTTATAAATTTTACTTAATGTATTGGTAATTTACGATATAATAATGTTACATAAATACTTTCCCCCAAACTCTGATTCTTCTCATGGTATCAGAGCCTGGTTGCTCTCAATACTAGGGTTTCAGTCCCCCTTCCATTGTTTTACGTTTCTTTCCCAGATCGTCAGCTCAGATCGTCACCACTACCCCAGTTCCCCTCTTTTCACTCTTCTTACCCTAACCAAAGACGATGGACACTGGGTTTGGAGATGACACAGTCAAATCTGGATCTGAATCTGGATCTGGTACTGAGAACGCCGGCAAATCCACTCTGGCGAACTTCCCCCAGTATGAAGACCCATTGTAATTTACATAATTTCTATATAACTTTTTGTGTAATCATAAGTAATGTGTGGTCTAATAATAAAATCAAGTTATTGAAAGGATCACATCTCTTTCAAACTATTATGTAAAAGTTAAATGACTTTGCATTTGATTAGACGGTTGGGTAAAAAAAAATTACATTACGGAACTTTGTGTAGCCAAATTGATGAGATGGTCAACAATTTATAAATAAGAAAGAAATGTTCATTCAAACTTATATTAACTTGATTTTTATGTTGGCAAAAAAAATGCATATAACATTGCAGAACCTTTATGCAATATAAATTAATAAGATGATCAATGGTTTAGTCAATAAAAAATGAATTTTTGTTCAAACTTATATTACGAAAGACTCACGTAATGTATTTTTTAATAGTTATATCAGAAATAATTATTCATCCATAAGCCTTATGTAGTGTATTAATCAATAAAGAAGAATTACAAAATAAGTTTGTTTAATTGATACAATAAGATTATTGTTGATGGCTAGCTGTTGAGTGACAAATTGATCCAGGCCCTTGAAATTATTGTCTGTTTTCTGCATATGAGCCAAAATCAACTCCTCCAGCTGGGGCTTCTTCTCTGGTTGAGGCTGCTGCTGTTGAGAACCAGGAGGTGGGATGTTTCGAACACCAGTTGGGTTGTTGTTTGCCCAGGAAAAGTTAGGATGCTTCCTCCATTGCGGGTTGTAGGTATTTGAATACATACCAGCCTGGCCTTGATTTCTCTGATTGTTAATATAGTGCACATCTTCCACCTGATCAGTTACCTATGGTTCAACCATTATACTGTTGAAACTATCTGCTGGTCTGATCTCTCTTAGGCAGTTATTTTGTCCGAATTGCTTGACTAAAAGATAGGATGAATTTGTTGATTATAATAATAATGTGTGGTTAGTAAAAATGCTCCAAGAAGAAGGAAAAGAGAATCGGAATAATGGGTGGTAAAACAAATGGTCTAAGAAGAAGGAAAGGAGGGCCATAAGTTTTGGTGGGTTTGGCCGCACCTAAGCAAAACACTAATGAACAGTAAGTTGGGGAGAAATTTTCGTGAGAAACAATAAATACTAAATAGTACTTGCGCTATTAGTTAATTAGTTTGTTTATACCTAAGAAATATCTATTCTTCTGTAAAGGTGATATTCGGCTTTAATATATCGGATTCTTGGACTTTATGTGATTATCCATGGTATGTTTAAGCCGATTGGTGCTAATTTAGGGCTCGCTAACCCGGAAATGGTTGAAAAACCATTATTACCTAGTGCCATGAGTTTGATATGTTACAGGTGAAGAAAGTACGAAAAAGAAGCGAGTGCACAACAAGTAATCGGGCCAAAGCCCAAATTGATGGGACTTTGAATTAGCAGCTCGGCAAAGTCTCTGGGCTTGGAATTAATTGGGGCAAACAGTAAAGGAGCTGGCGGACAGAATTGTTGGACGAGGGGATAATTAGAAGTGAACGAAATTCTTGGGATGGCAATAAATTTGGCGGAGGGGCAATTAAAGGGGAGGACAAGGGAATTAAAGGGCCGCATGTAATTAAAAAAGGGAGGGCGGCATTTTATTTGGTTAGTTTTTGCGGGCGAATTTCTTGTGGAGAAAGAAAGGAAGCGGCGTAGCAGGACAGCAGGCAATCAGTCGATTTCCATCGGCGATTGAGTTTTTTCAAGGCTAGAGCTGAGTTCAACGAGAGCGATTAGTTGGTTTGATTTTCTAAACTGAACTAGTTGTGTATTGTTGATTTAGAACATGATGAACAAAACCCTATCGATTTATCTCAATTTCGTCATGAACTAAACCCCAATTTCTGGGGGAAACACCATAGGATGTAGCTATTTCTTGATTTGATGGAAACACCATGAAACTACTTAATGCTTTGTGTTGACTGGCCACCAATACAACGATTCGTAGTTAATTAGGTTATTAGCGACAGTGAAACCCTATTAACTGAACATATTTCATGTGACATAGTAACTTATCGAAGCGACAGTGGATTAAATCAGGTGCTATGCGGTCTTAAATAGGATATCGGTCTTCAGACTAAATAATTAAGTCATTGAGCTACGACAGTAGGATTTGATTTAATTGTTTAGTACATAGTAATTCCCGACAGGGATAGCTAGCACAGTAGTGATATCCTGGCTGTGGAGGTATGGATTAAATTGATTGGAATATGTGAATTAATCTGGATAGGATAGGTAGTGAATCCCGGTGTTTCTCCCAGAGCTTTCTCCCATTGAATTAAACCCGACAGTTTTCACTTGCTTAATTTGTTTAGTTTATTTTGCTTTTAGATAATTAGTCTCATTAAACCATTTTCACCTGTAGTTTACTCTATAGAATCAATAAATCATTAGGTTGTACCAGTCCCTGAGAGACGATACCCGGACTTTCCGGTTTTACTACAAGATAGGAATTGAAGCTATACGCTTTTGACCTATCAAGTTTTTGGCGCCGTTGCCGGGGACTGCCATACCTTATTTTTGTTGATTTTTGTGAGTGAACTATTTTGATCTGGGTGTTAGTGTGCAGAAGAATTTTCAGGTTTATCCTCCTCGTGCATGCCTAGGAGGACGACTGGCAATTTACTGCCACTAGATCCCGAGATCGAGAGGACCTGCCGACAGAACAGGAAGCAGGTCAAGTTAGGGAAGCAGCCTACCACATCCACAACTCCTAGGCCTTCCCTAACTCAGAATCGTCAACCGAGAAGGCAGGTGACACCACCTGTCATCCCTACACCACCTACACCACCGCCGCGCGTCATCGAGCCTGTCATCATGGCTGAACAGGATCGTTCGATCAGGGCTCGTCTGAATCGGAGGACTGGAGCCCGAGCTTCATGTGTTGTCATTCCGGCTGGGGATGCAAACATGGAGATAGCCCCAGCCTTCATCAATATGATCACGAATGGGTACACCTTCTCTGGGGCCAGCACCGAGGATCCTCATGAACATCTTCGCCGGTTTGCAAACATTTGTGACACAATGAAGAGCCCGGCTGTGTCTGATGATGCCATCCGTCTTCGGATGTTCTCATTTTCTCTGCTAGGGAATGCATCACACTGGTTCCAAAACTTAACACCCCGTTCCATCACAACATGGGGTCAGCTTGAGAAGACCTTTTTGGATAAGTACTTTCCTCCTGCCAAGGCAATGAAAAGGCAAGAGGAAATTGTCACTTTTAAACAAGCTGAGGATGAAAGTTTGACCGAGGCATGGGAGCGCTATAAGGAGCTTCTAATGAGATGCCCGAGCCACGGTCTTGAAGATTGGAATGTGATCTCCATCTTTTTCAACGGAATCAGAAGACAATTTCGAGATGCTCTGAATAATGCTTCCCGAAATGGTTTCACAAGAATGGAAGCACCAGAAGCATATGAACTGGTGGAGAAGATATGCTCTGAAGATACTGAATGGGGTAGTGAGATCGGCATTCGAAGGAGAGGAGGTTTGCATGAGATAGACAGAGTTGCAAGCTTAGAAGCAAAGATTGATGCTAAGCTGGATTCCAAGTTCGACGCACTCGAACGAAGGCTGGCTAAGTTTGCTCTTGGTAGACAGGAGGAGGTTGCTTATTGCGAATTATGTGAAGGTGCTCATCATAGGGATCTATGTCCACTGGTGGCTGATCAGGTGGAAGATGTGCACTATATTAACAATCAGAGAAATCAAGGCCAGGCTGGTATGTATTCAAATACTACAACCCGCAATGGAGGAAGCATCCTAACTTTTCCTGGGCAAACAA